AATTTGGTCTGGGCCCGAGGTGGGCTTAATAGCCGGCGACTACTGTAGTAGAAAAACAAAGTTACCTTTAAAAATGTGGAGGACTGTTGCGTTGTTTGCGCTTGCGTCTGTTCAAATTCCTCCAGACGAACCGGCTTCACGACGGGCATGTGGAGCAGAAGCCTAGAACGGGCTTCGAGACACTCAAACTGAGCTGTGCAATTGGCCACGATGGCTTCTGGCTTTCCGAAGAGTGTGTGGAAGGCAAATTCATCGAACTTGATGACAAAATCATAACGTGGTATCTCCACAGTTCCTGTATGAAATAGAACATGCAGCAAGTCCTGTTAGGCAGACCATAGAAATCTGTCGTAAGCAATTCTTAAGTGGGGGCTAAATAAGTAAAGGGTAGGACGTTTTTCGTTAAGCAAATCGGTGTCAGCTACAAGCCCCATAATAGCTCAAAAACGAGAGTTATTCTACCAATTCAATCACTAACTGTATCACAGAAGGCCTCAATCTGTAAGGCTGGAAATCGAGCGATGTAACGTGCCGTCGACATAAGCGTCAGCTCCACCATAAAGCTGGCACAATTCGCCCTATGAATGTAATTCTAAGTATAGCAGTTTGCCCACAACAGTCTGTATCGCTGTAGTAGCATCCCCCATGCACCAATATATGATAATATCCAGCATTTGCTGGAAACATTAAGTTAAACGTCATTTCCGAGGCGAACATGTTTAGCATCAGGCAAGCACTAAAGCAGACTTCCCTTGAAAGTATAGTCCTTACATGTGCTCCCTATGCTCTACAAAGCGGCGTAAGGCAGTTAAAAAGTAAGTCTGAGCTGTTTACACAAGTATACTTTCGCTCTAATTTTGGAAAAAGGTCATGGTTTCAACCGACAGTGTGTTTGTGTGGACACGTACCTTTCCAAGGCCACTCCTTCTTAGGGTATTTTGGTGGCCTTATGAAGCTGTATTCACCCGGATTATCGGCGACAAACTTTCTGAGGATTAGATCGTTCATACTCCGCCAGTGGTCGATAATTATTTCTTTTTCTAACTGATGTGTAACGGCATCCAGTCTGAAAGGCAAATAAAATGATACCAATAGTTTGATAAGCAGTCCTTTAACGTATAAAAACAATAAGAATAATTTCTTTATGTCCAGCTGAGGTGGTAAAATGGTGAATTATAAATGGCCTTATTACTACTTTAGCAAAATAACAGGTCCAGAGGCATTGTTTTGCCATCATTGAGCTTCAGACTGGAAGCTAACAGTGGTCAAAGTGAGAGAAACCTAAAGCACTGCTTCTGATGGTTTGAAACATTGTACGGATGTTGATTCCTGTTAATACTTGTTTTCTTAAATGTAGGAGCTCCTTAATCTGATAATAAGGACAAGCAAAACGACGTTCATTCCAGCCTAAAGGACCAAATCTGGTATTTAAATGCCCCCAACTTGATAATTTACACAGCAGAATTTTCAAAATATGCAGGTAACCTGCCTAGAAATCATTCATGATTGAGTCAAGACAAAAAATGCTTTAAATGAAAGGTGGTGAAAACCAAATATAGGTATTTCTTGACATCAACCGCCTCTATATTTTCTTGTGAAGAAAATTCCACGCTAGTCTTAGCCAAGTACACCTCTATTCCGTCCGCATAGGCAAGTGTTTTCCGCTCCCTTAACAAACATTTTACGTGTTCGTATTAAGTTTTAATTGTACCTGAAATCAGCAGACTAGAAAATTATCTAACACACATAATCCTGCCATACTAAAAGTTACTGTTACTGGTACCTAAAACGCATGTAAAGAACTTCAGGTTTTCAGACCAACAGTAGCAGCAGAAACCAGAAATCACCATTCTGTCTCCCTTGTTCTGTCAATAATGTTTCCTGTCTACAATACTAGTCGTTGCGTGTCTGCTAGCGGGGCTCGAGAGTGAGACACGAGGCAGAACGGGACGAGTGAGTCCTATAACCGACGGATGAGCCTTCATCCACCAAGGAAACTAAAGTTTAGTTTGGGGTTGTGATAATACTGGCCAATGACGGTTGGTGAGTCCGAAACCGTCGGTGTCAACATTTCTTATTGGTGGATTGCTGGTTCCTATGCAGCAGTCAATGTGATCTCTAGATCCGGAAATCCAGGACAAAATGAAAATACCCAGTTCAGTTCTGTAGTCAGGATCTACCAGTGAACTGCACTCACATGTGAATTTAGTGTTGCATCAGCATACAAACAAAGGAGAAAGCAGTTCTTTTAAAAAAGTTGAAACTCTCAAAATACTCAGAAAATTATCGCATTCATCGAGACTTAATTACCTGTGGCAGTTTATAGTATAGTTCTAAAGCACGCGCTGCAAGAAATTAATACTGCATAATTGGAAAAAGGGTGATTTTCACCACGCCGTCGATTGCGACTACTGAGCCGTTGATGTAAACAAAGTATAACTTGTGCTCGATACTGGGCAATAAATGAACCCATCTATTAGAGTAAGACGTGGTAATATGAGCTAATTATTTCTTCCTTTGCATCGAATTTATTTGCATTACTGATCAACACAAAAAGCAAGGTGACAATATATTGAGGGCGTACCCCGTTTTCTTTTTCAAAACGGGTGTTGAATCCTTCGCCAGGTACTTGATTCGTTTCAGTGCTGCTTGGTCCATCTCTACCAGTCCTTCAGTTGGCATGCAGTCTAGGTAGAGATTATAACGAATAGCAGCCTCAGTGTCCTCCCGAGATCGGTAGGCCGTGGCTATGCGTTTGGCGAAGACGACAGGGTCCTCCGCAATGAACCTTATTTGAATTCTGGGCACCCAGTACTGTGTAGGCATTTTGGTGAAATGTCCCGTAGGCTGAAGGCCACCATTCACCACTGGGTTCTTCTGATCATCCAGCACACGGTTGCAAGCGTCACTCTTTTGCACCAGCCACTGTTTCGACTTCGGTTCATAGTCCAGAACGCCGACACGTTGCCAGGCCCAGGATAGCTCAGGATTTCTCATATCCGCTACAACCAATCAGAAAATAAGGTCAAATCGCGAAGTCTTTCTTAATTGACAGGGTTATCGGGCAGGGCGAAGGCTCAAAGATAAATGCAACCCCACTGAACACTCCTCGGAAGATACTACTTACGTGCCAATTAGGTTCCTTATCACAGAGGTCTTATCGTGTAGATTTACATACTCAATGCCTTGTACAGTCATAAAAATATTTATTAAAGTTTAGATGGGACTTCGAGTGACAGAAACAGCAACCGATACTGCAAAAATATTTATTTTGAGTGAAATAAACATTTTCGTGTGGGTTTTTTTTTAAACATTGTTCCGCAGCGCGGGTGAACTTTTTAATTCATAACTAACTTTCTGAAGGTGAATAAACGTTGCTCTTTTGATAGAGTGCAAACTGTCGATTGTTCCTTGGCATTAAAAGAATTTTTAATCTGCCCCAAGGACACTTTCATCAAAACCTTTTGAATAGATTCCCTTAAATAGTATTGCTGTTAGACGGAATTATTTTAGATAACAGTGTCTTTTATTCGCTTTATGCATCTTCTAAAAAATCCGAAAAAGTTTCGTAAGTATCATAGCAGCCGATAACCAGGCGTTTCCCGGAGAAAAATCAAGCTTTTTTGGTAGTATTTTTGCCAGTAATGACGTAAGATCCGTTTACATGGGAAGATCTGGTGTTATGTTTTAGATAATTCAGAGCTCGGTTCAACTAGGTTTTTTTGTATATGATCCCTAGCATTAAATGCGACATCCTGTATACTAAGTTGCAGAATAGTCTTGAAGTTCTTGCATTCGTTGGCTAAAAACTGATTAAGAAGTTGAAAAATAATCATAGCTGACTTCAAATAAAAGATAATATGTGAGTACAAACACAGCCACAGAAGACGATTATACACGTGTTCTGTCTTCCACCCTCAGAAAAGAACTCCCTAAACATGCAGCTGTCACTTAATTGTTAGAAACCTCGAAGAATTTGAACAATAACGGGCTTGACACAATGCGCATGTCCTGAGGTTGCTATTCATTAGTCGCTGCTGACAGAGAAAACAGAAGTCAGGAAGTAGGTTGTGGTAGATTATCGTTCATGGTTAAGGAGGAGTAACGTTTGCGTCGAGATCGTCCAAATAAGGTATATTCATAGTCATAGTAAGTAGCAGTTAACATATAATTCTTCCATCCGTTGTGATACTAACTACTATTGCAATAGTCATGGGAATAAAAAAGCAATGGAAAGCCGGCCTTGCGTCTAAAAGAGTATATTTTCATGGGTGGAACATTTGGCTAAGTGCATTTTGACGTGTAAGAATTTAATTTTGTCTGCTAATATTTAGCAAGACACCTAAATTTGTGCAATTGAATATGAAACAGTTTATGATATGTCCTCATAAAACTTGTAATACCTTTACTTTAGTTGCTGATTATACCTGTTTGGATTGTCTTAAATTTGCGAAAATTCCCACTCAAAAGTCCAAAAGATGAATTGGCGAACATACATTTGTTTTCGATAAATTCTCGTCAGGTCTTTACATTTATATGGTAATTAAGTAAATAAACTATACAGGTTGGTAAAAAAATTGTACGGTTGTCAGGGGAGGGGAGGGGGGAGAGAATCGGGATCAAAATTTGATCAGCGCTAAGGCGGACTGGAAGTCGGCCGATGTGATAAGCTGTCAGCTGTTTGATTAGCGGCTTTTGCCCATGGTAACTGCGGCACCGTGACAAAGTTCTTTTGGGCGCACAGGAACGGTCGACGTAGCCTGATGGCGGCCGCTTCTGCCGTAGCCAACAGACGCTGTCAAAAAAAATTTAAATAGCTTGAGCGTACCTTGTAGATCGCTCGAAAGGCCTCTTTGGCATCCACGTGATGGGTTGAGTCTACCAGTTGCGCTAGAATAGAACTGTTTATACCCTTTAGTTGTCTCTTTCCTAACTATGCTGGGATGTGTTCTCGTACCCTTTTGGATAATCGCCGGCTCATGCGATCAATATATCCTGCCCCACAGGAGCACATGGACACATGGGAAAAAGCCGCTAATCCAACAGCCAGCAGCTTATCACCTCGGCCGACTACCAGTCTGTCTTAATGCTGATCAGATGTTGACACCAATTACCTCCCCCTTTTCCCATCCCCTGACAACCGTACTATTTTTTCTACCAAACCGCATAGTTTATTTAGTTAATTACCATATAAATGTAAAGGTCTGATGAGAACTTACCGAAAACAAGCGCATGTTCGCCAATCCATCTTCTGGATTATACATGTAAAAAGTACTGAATATCAGTTAACCATGCGCGATCGCCTGGAAGTTAAAGTCTAGGAAGTGGCTCATCATCTGAAATTTGTTAGTGCCAAGTCAAGAAACCAGACCTCTTGTCTGTATTTATAAATTTGATAAAATTTAAAGCTATCATAACACCATCGTAGTTCACAACAGGTTATATGATTTACAAACAGCTCACGAATCAGCTCATTAAATCGGTCAAACGTGCAGGCAAGGTTAGTAACGGCGCATGTAAGAGATACTAATAAAGAAGGCAAAAGTACGCGAAAAGAATAAAAAGTTGATAGAATCCAAATACCCTATAGATAAGATGATGGCAATCTACTTTTAGCTACTGAGAATAAATATGCACCTTCGGTGGTCAATCCGTGTATTTCACTTGACATGATTTGCACGACAGTGTTGGGGTTATTTCAAAATAGAACCGTTAGCCTGCTATTTATTTGCTTATTCAAGGGCAATAGAGCAAGCATCCATACTGAACTATCCGCTATCAAACACTTTAAAGTGTTAAAACTCACAGACGAGCAGGCCAATATTTTGCCTTACCGAACAGTCTGCTCTAAATGTGGACTGTGAATAGTATTTAGAGGTTATATTCGAGTAGATCCCCGCGCTTGAATAACTTTTGTGTAAACTGATTCAACCATGCCTTCTAGCGCAGTCTCTCCAAAAGTACGTGAATTTTGCTAAGTCAATCCTGAAAGACTGCAAGAACGTTTATCCCCTTCCAAGTTTAATGAATACTTCGATACCCCTTCCGCTGATAATTAATGCATTCAAAGCAGTGTATGTGCAAAGTCTATTATCTAATAAAAAAGCACATACAATCATGCTTGTCATCTCTGACAGGGAGAAGAGCCACAGCAGGAACTGGTTTTCGAACTGAATTTTCAAGTCCCAAAGAGAGCCAATCACTGGGAGTTCGACAATCGTAGTCCTCATCGTCGAAAATGTCAAGGAAAAGATAAGGACACCAATTTCCGTCCTCATCCTTAAAATTTGCAGGGGGTCTTGGCATAAGATCTTTTGTTTCGATCTTATATTCTTCTTCCAATATGCGTACAAGATTGTATTTCTCGAACTCTCGTTTTTTCCTATAAAGTCGGAAATTGAAAAAAAAACAGGCGGGTACCTTTCAATAACGAGTTTCCGAGGACACTTTCCGGGTGGTGTATAGAAAGGAACCTGCACTTTTGGTTCATATGAGGCTGCGGTAAAGTCCTTTAAATAGCTATTAGTCGATACTAAGAAATTTACCGACGTTATTGTGCTCTGCGTAGTTCCACTATGTACATCGATAAACGCATTTATATTTGTTTCAATCGGTGGAGCAACTTTAATTCATTAACAGAATTTAGAATTACCATTAGGAGTGGAGGCAAGTAGTCTTGAATCATCAGTGATATTGTCGACAACCGGAACCTCTAGTTCACCAAGCTAATTTGAAAACTTAGATGAAAACAAAACATACTGTCTGGCCCTCTGTGACGTTCTCTGCTAATATATCGGAATAAAAGCCTCTTTGGTTGATTTCGGGGTACTTTCCTCCATCTTCAGCCATCCTAAATTTTCATAAGTTGTCGTGACTCTTTGGCCTTGAAAGTGCAACTATAGAATCGTCAGAACGACACTCGCATTATAAACAAAACTATCAGATTCACAATGCTCTTATACTCCCATAACGACGTAACCTCTGCTCCGAACCATGCATTCTACTAAATATTGGAATATTTTTTATCAGACACTGAGAGGTTGTAAAAACTATTAAACTCACTGCGGTTTTCGGTGCATACCGAGAGTTGTTGACCATTCTACAACTCCCGATTCACGCATTTGCTTTCCTTTTTTTCTTTTTTTTCTTTTTTCGCTTCATCTATATTGTGCAGGTAATCTTCAGTTCTTTGTGTGTTTATGTCGCAATCAAAGGGACAACTGGACCTTTTATGCAATTTTGTGCATACAAAATTTTTATTTCAATGTTTTCTGAACACAGATGAGGAAAACATGACGATTACCCCTTGTTAAATTTGATTTTAACCCGTTGACCCAATTTGAAGCGATACCGCTAAATTGTGGCAGAACCGAAGACTCCCTGAAGAGGTGGTCCTCTCAGATACTGTTGACATTTTTAAACACAAATGATTCCCATTTGCTGAGAAACTGTGGCAGATATAATGAACAAAGTGTCAGTACTGATGTTAAGCCTACATTGTATATTTGTATTATGTACTATTGTTACGGTGGACCTATTTTTCGATTTTTGGTTATGAATAGGGAGCTCAAGGTCGACAAACCTTCTTCCCTTAATAAAAGTGACTTGAAGTGACTTGACTATCTTTATTGGCCTATGGGCATCCTTTACTGATCAATAGGATTTTATGTTGGTCGATTTTGTTCTTTTTATGTGTGCTTTTCATTCACCTTTTTGGTTTAGAAAAACAGTTACAAGCAGCTTTAATTTATTTCCTGTGCACTTATCACGCACTTATCACATGCACTTATCACGCATTGAACGTGCATTATCTAGGCCTCATCACGCACTTATCACATGCACTTATCACGCATTAAACATGCATTATCTAGGCCTTAATCGGGCGTTAAACGTTTAACCACGATTTATGTAAGAAACTTGTCTCACAAGAAAACCTTATCGTTAATCATATGAGGACTGGTTCTTTTATTGATAATTTTAACCCGATACTTCGGCGTGCGTTTGAGCCAATCAGGCGCAATGCTCTGATTGATTAAGACCATTGGAAAACGATAGGTCCGGGTCCTAAATAACTCCAGGCTCATTCATTTCGTGACCGACTATGTTGAGTTAATGGTCGCCAACCATTACAATGGAGTATTTTTGACACGAAAGGCAGATGCTCCATGTGCAGTACCACTGGCCAAACGCCTGGACATCCTTTTGTAAGAGCTCAAGCATGATCTTGCAATCCCCGGTTTATATTTATGGGTAACTATTATTTCATTAGCGTACATTAAGGGCCTAATATGGTGAAAACAAGCAGGTGGCCAACGGACAGTGTGTACCGAGGTACTTTGGAAATTAAGGAACCCGTTATCTCAAAGTATATTCAAACTCCGTGACTACAAATGAGAACTTCAACCGTGTCCTCTAAGAATGCCTACGGAATCGATGCATAAGTGTTTGTTTATCGTATGCTGGCTCGAATCTCTAGCCTGCCCTGACTTAACAACCCTGAATTTCCTTCGCAGCTAATGTCTCTTGAAGACTTATATCTTTACTTGTACCGTGGTCCACACACCTTTTTCTGCTGTCCTGACCGCTCATCAGCTTAGGCTAATGGTTTTAATCTTCTTGGGATACTTTCAAAACATCGGATCTGTAAAGTAGTATATAATGCCACGCGATTGACGCCGTCTTGACGCATACATCAGCAAATCCCCCACCACCAGCAACAAGCTCCGGCCTAGCTGATTAGTCGCCTGAGGTCGGATGAGCGCATTGATTTACAGTGCTGATGAACCCGTGTGCGCGCACCATAGCCTGGCCTAACCCATTGGCACCAGGTCTCGTATAATCAGGGAAATAGAAGGAGCCGACACCCCTTCCCTCTACTCCCAGTGTTACTCATTAACTACTTTACACTCAGCGCATATTGGGCTGATGTTGTGTCTGATAATGCATTATTTGGTGGCGCTTAAATAAAAAACAAGCCAGAGGTGAACATTGGAGAGCAAGTTGTGCAAGGGAAGAAGAAAGAGAGATAAGTATAGAAAACTAGAAAAAAATATGAAAAATAAACGAGAAGGAAAACGCCGCTTGATTTTCAATAGAGGCTCTTCAGGGAGTGCAAAAGGCTTTCGGTTGAGAAGCTTGTGTTGATACCATAAAGTTAGGCTTCAGGTGCGACTGTTGTTTGTGTATATTTTGTGATTATGACTGCGGTTATTAATACTGGTAACACTTAAGTCGAGAAGAGCAATACTACTGCAAACTACAACAAACAGCAAATAAAAAGCCTGGTGTTGCCCAAGACCTAGTACTACGTTGCTGCTGATAGCAATAATCATCTAAATACTACTGACGCTAGTACCGGCCATAAGACGGTTTTTTTCAACGAGCGTACATGGTCAAGGAGAGAATGAAATGGAGGGCCTTAAAGGCAGACATAGCCATCTTGAAAGAAAAAGGAGAGAAGGGCCTGGAAATACGCGATGGGGTAATTGTCCGACGTCGAAGGCCCTTTCTGTGGAGGACGCCCGTCATCCTAACAAAAGTCACACGGCCG